TGTGCTTACTTTCTTGCGTACGGATGCCAGCTGCGTATGACTTTATTTACTTTCTGGTGCTTTTACTTCCAGAGACAGTTGTAAGCACTGTGTAACTGCCTCGAGGGTGCTTGACCATTTTAACACAACGTGGGGGAGGGGACGGGGTTATATGCCCCCCTCCAGGCTGGAATCTGCAGCAGCTGACTGCTGTCATCCTCCGCAAGAAAAATGTCGACACAAATCAAGTCTGCAAATCACCTCTTCAAAAATGTACATTGTCGCACACTTGCATACCGCACCAAACACCACAGCTTTGGTCTACACCAGTTGCCTGTCTAGGACCGTAGAGAGTGAGAACGCTTATCCAGCTTGAGGGGCTTCGTGGGGGCGGGGGGGGGGGCAACCAGTAACGTCGAGGTGCAGCCAGCAAGCAAAGGAGAGGCGGTACCTGCCACGTTTACCACAAGGCTTCCGCAAACGTGTGTCAAGCTACTATTATAGTACAGAAGCATCGCGTTGCATTGCCTTGTTTGCTTCCAAAGTGCGCACCTAGTCGGAACATACAGTCTTTATGCGCCCGATGGAAGAAAACTTAATGAGCTTCGCATAAAAACGCGGCGATGGAATGGTGGCGGGAATACAGCACTTCCCTGCTGCAATTTCGCAGTCCTACGTACGCGGTAGGCCAAGAACTAACGAGCCGTTTTTTCCAACAATTGTAGGAAAATAAAATAAGCAATTCAGGCGAAAAACGGTTTCACCCGAAAGGTTTTTCGTGCTCGTAAAACACAGGTAGGGAAGAAAAAACCATCGCAGGAAAAACACGACCCGACCATTTACAGTGGGCCTTCGTAGCCATTTTCGGCTGAAATTTTTCGCACCTGAAGCCAACAAGGGTATCTCCCCAATCTCTAGTGGCGTTCTGGTACTTGATGTAGAACAACAGCGCGCACGCCAGGAAAATGGAGCTCACCGCCACCTGATACAGCGGGGAATAAAAAACAAACGCCATCGGTGGTGCGCGCGTGCGGGGGGGGGGGG